ATACTTTTTTAACATGATCATGATGGGTCTGGTGGTCTGGGGAATAAACAAGGATATCATCCAGGTATACAAGTGCAAAAGAGTAAATATAATCCCTTAGCACATCATTAATGAAGTCCTGAAATACGGCCGGGGCATTGCATAACCCAAAGGGCATAACAAGATATTCATAGTGGCCATTTCTAGTGTTAAATGCCGCTTTCCACTCGTGATCATTCTTAATCCTGACCAAATGGTATGCACTCCTGAGGTCAAGTTTGGTAAAGACCTTAGCACCCTGGAGTCTGTCAAACAAATTTGGAGATAAGGGGAATAGGATAGGCATTTGTTATGGTGATTTTGTTTAAAGCCCTATAATCAATGCAAGCAAGTAATTCTCCATCCTTTTTTGACAAGAAAAAGAACCCTGCACCAGGGGAGGATGATTTGCGTATGTAACCCTTACTTAAGGCATCTCTGATGTACTCCTCCATGATTTTACTCTTTTGTAGGGTTAAAGCATATACCGCCCCTTTAGGAGGCATAGCCCAGGGCAGCAGATCAATGGAATAATTATATGATCTATGTGGAGGTAGAACATCAGTTTGACTTTTACTAAAAACTTCCCTAACCTCCCAATACTGCATGGGTATTTCGGGGGTAGTGGGTGAAATAGTAGGTAAATTAACGATGCCCACACTTTTACTAATAGGAGACATACAACCCTCCTGACAGTCTGTACCCCATTCCAGTATTTCCCCTTTGGTCCAGTCAATATGAGGGTTGTGCTTGATGAGTCAAGGGAATCCTAATATGATGGGACACAAAGGGGAAGCGATTATCTGAAATGTAAGGAATTCTTTATGCAATGCTCCGATAATGATACAGATAGGCAAGGTATTGTGGGTAATCAGTGGTTGAGAGAGGTTTCCCATCAATAGCCTCAACAGCCAGAGGTGAAGATTTCTCCTTGATAGGTATAGGGTGTTTTTTAACAAAATACATGTCAATAAAGTTACCTGCCGTACCTGAGTCAACCAGGGCTTTGCATGAAAAGTTTTTCTTGTTGCAAAGGGCGACAATGTCAAGGAGAAATCTACTTTGGTTATTACTAGAGGAAGGATCCATCACACCTAAGACCTGTCCCCTTAAGGTTCTTAGGTGCAGAGGTTTTACCGTATAGTAAGTATCTCTCATATGTCCTTTTTTGCCACAATATAAGCATAGACCCTTTCTTCTTCTATACTGTTTCTCTGCCTCTGACAATCTAGTGACCCCCAACTGCATGGGTTCGGGTTCGGACTGTACAGGGAGGTCAGAAACAATAGGTCTGGAGAAACGGGGTGCTAAAGGCATAGCCATATGTCTGGTTTTATTTCTTGTATTTTCTCTGGTTCTAATTCTATTATCAATCTGCATGACAAATGTGATAAAGTCATTCGATTTTTAGGTAGTTCTTTGGCCACAATCTCCTCCAATATTGTCTCAGATAATCCTCTTTTAAATGCAGAGATTAACCCAGAAGCCAAAGTGCGAAGTTCTATAGCATAATCTGAGATACACCGGTTCCCTTGTTTGATATGCATTAGGGCAGTGGAGGCATCATCGTCCCTGCCTAATGGTTCAAACGTTAATTTGAATCCCGCAAGGAATTCCTGGTAATTGTGTGCAATGCTCCTATTACTCTCCCAAAACGGATTGGCCTAAGTTAAGGCTTTACCTTTAAGTTGGTAACCAATCTTAGCTCTATCTGAGGGAAAAGATCCTGGTGAGGCCTCAAAATCATATTCAATTTGGATCAGAAATCCCTGGCATTCTTGAATATTCCCATCAAAATGCAGGGGAGGAGATAGGGAGATAGTAGGTGCCTTGTGTGCTATAGGTGGAGGTACATTAGGCGAAGGAGACATGGTCGGAGAAGCCTCAGGTTGTAGTGGAAGCCTGGGCAAACTGATCCATACCGGGATCATTCTCCTTTAGCTTTCTCTTGCGAGCTGTTATGTGCTGACTAGAGATGAGCGAACCCAAACTGGAAAGTTCGGGTTCGTACCGAACATTATGATTTTGGACCCCGGACCCGAACACGGACATTTCAGTGTATGTTCGGGTTGGAGTTCGGTGTTCGATGATTTAATGGCGCATTTTGAAAGGCTGCAGGGCAGCCAATCAACAAGCATTTGACTCATGTGCCCTTAGAAGCCATCACAGCCATGCCTACTAATGGCATGGCTGTGATTGGCCAGTGCAGCATGTGACCCAGCCTCTATATATAAGCTGGAGTCACGTAGAGCCGCACGTCACATGAGCTGTTATTAGTGTAGGGAGAGGATGCTGCAGCTGTGAGAGACAGATTAGGAAAGAATTCTGGTGTTGAATCTGCAAACTACAGCGAATATTTTTGTGGGTGCTATACTACATTTTTGTACCCTGCCCTGAGCCCAGTGCCACAGAGAGTGCAGTGCACTTGCGACTGCATGTGTGCCAGGCACATTACTTTAATCCTGTTCTGGTAGCTCAGTGGGCAACATCTAGGCATTTTTAAATACTGCAATTTTTTTGGTGCTAAATAGTACATTTGCATACTGCATTTCTAGCAGTCTAATAAAATCCTTAAATACTACTGTTACATTGTTGGTTTACAAAAATCACACTTTTTTGTGCTAAATAGTACATTTGCGGCCTGTGGTGCACTTCATATCTGAGAGTCAAATAGAACCGTCAAATACTGTGGTTACAGCGCAGTTTTTAAAATTTGAATTTGAATGACAGGTCAAGGAGCATTAGGATAGAGTAGTGACCACGAGATTTTGCAGCGAGTAGATCATTGAATACTTTGATCAGTGCCGTTTCCACAGAGTGCTTAGCGCAGAAACCAGACTGAAGCAGGTCTAGCAGAGAGTTGGACTCGAGGAAGTCTGTCAATCTCGCATACACAATTTTTTCAAGGATCTTGGATGCAAAAGGCAGTAGCGAGATAGGACGATAGTTGGATGGGGAGTTAGGGTCAAGATTGAGCTTCTTTAGAATTGGGGTTACAGTTGCATGTTTGAAGGGCAATGGGTGCTAAATAATATACCAGAGGAGAGAGAGAGATTGAGAATTTTAGTGAGAGGTGGAGAAAGAGAAGAAGACAGAGTACGGATGAGATGCGAGGGAATTGGATCTAGGGAGCAGGTGGTGGGGCGGGAGGACTGGAGCAGAGCAGAAACCTCTTCCAATGTAGCGGGTGCGAATGAACATAGAACAGCAGAGGGAGTGAAGTTAGGGGAAGTATTGTAAGGGGGCGGTCAAGTTAGTAGGTGGAGGAGGAACAGCAGGGCGGAGAAGAGAGTTAAATGTGTGAAATAGTCGTTTGGGTTCGCGGGAGAGTGTGGTTATGAGGGTATTGAAGTAATTAACTTTTGCAGAGGAAAGAGCCAAGCTGTATGAGCTCAGCATAAATGTATAGTGGAGAAAGTCAGATGCACAGTGAGACTTTCTCCAATATCTGAGAGTCAAATAAAACCGTCAAATACTGTGGTTACAGCACAGTTTTAAAAATTCTAATTTTTTGGGTGATAAATAGTACATTTGGGTTGTGCACTTCATATCTGAGAGTCAAATAGAACCGTCAAATACTGTGGTTACAGCGCAGTTTTAAAAATTCAAATTTTTGGGGTGCGAAATAGCACATTTGGGGTGTGCACTTCATATCTGAGAGTCAAATAGAACCGTCAAATACTGTGGTTACATCGCACTTTGAAAAATTATTTTTTTTGGGTGCTAAATAGTACATCTGCGGCCTGCGGTGCACTTCATATCTGAGAGTCAAATAGAACCGTCAAATACTATGGTTACAGCGCAGTTTTAAAAATTCAAATTTTTTTGGGTGCTAAATTGTACATTTGGGGTGTGCACTTCATATCTGGTGTATGTGTGCAACACTGGCTAGGTACCGCTTCTCAAGTCTAAAGACAAATAAATGTTGCCTGTGGTGTAGGTAGTATAGAAGGCAAGACTGAGAGAAATTATTCGGGTTATGTTTGCCTGTTGACATGTTAATTATCTTAGACAATTAAAATTCAATAATCAATTAAAAAAACACACTGTCATACAAAAATATGTATTATAGACAAGTTAAAAACAAGACTACAAGTCATGCTATAACAAAATTAAACAAGTTTTAAAATATGTATGGGCCAACCAGTGGCTGTAAAAACAAAGTTTTACTGGTTACATTCATGACTACACACACTAGTGAACAGGAACTTCATGTAGTGTGTTTTTTTTTTGTTTGTTTTTTTTTTTAAATCATACAGCATCCTTTCATGTGCTTTTCAGATGTCATATTGTTAATTACAAATTTTATGTTTAGCCTGATTTTTAAAAAAAAAATTGAAAAATAAGTGTTATTGTGATCGCTTCATATACAGAAGCATTAATATACATTTCTGTATTGTGTAAAGACACAACTACAATTTTAAAAACCAAACACCAAAACAACATGCCGGACAATCTACCTGTGCATGGCTAGTGTGATACAATAAGTCTACATCTTAAAAATGCAATAACCCACAGAAGATGGGCGAGAATTTTTTTTTGCAAATGGGTGCAAAAGCGGAGCGGCCATCCCCAAGCGCTCGTCAGCATGTATTAGCTCTATAATTACCACAATTATCCAAGTAACAGATGAAGCAATCAAAGGAACCATAACTGATTTAATGAGGCATTCGCAGTTTCACTGTAGCGGCTGTGCGCGCTTTCAGCGTTCTCACCCTGCTGCTGCCCGCCTGTCTGCGCTGCAGCATAACTTCGGCCTTCCCGCTCACCACCTCATATGTGACGTGGCCACAAGGTGGAACTCCACCTTGCACATGATGGAGAGACTGTGCGAGCAGCAGCAGGTGGTAGTGGAGTTTCAGCTGCAGCACGCACTGGTCAGTCGCTCTGCACCAGACTTGCCCTCCAATAGATCCTCGTTAAAGGATTTAAAGTGCATTCATTCCAATTACAGGGCCTCGAAAGAGTCCTGTATTGTTATTTTTCGTCACTACCTCCCCGCATCGGGAGTGGGTAATTTGCGCGCCTGCTGCCTTCCTTGGATGTGGTAGCCGTTTCTCATGCTCCCTCTCCAGAATTGAACCCTGATTCCCCGTTACCCGTGGTCACCATGGTAGGCGCAGAAAGTAGCATTGAAAGTTGATAGGGCAGACATCCGAATGCGTCGTCGCACGCTGGTAGACACACTGCAGAGCGCATTCCCAACTGACACTGGGGGCTCAGTGGAAGCACAAGGCAGAGGAGGAGGAAGAGGCCGCCAAAGCAGCTGGGGCACCGCCAGCACCTCACAAGGCAGGGTTAGCATGGCCGAAATGTGGAAAAGCTTTGTCAGCATGCCACAACAACGAGCACTACCAGCTGATATGGAATGTCTTAGCAGGAGGCAGCATTTCAGCAACATGGTGGAACAGTACGTGTGCACACACCTACACGTACTGACTGATGGGTCTCCCCCATTCAACTTCCGGGTCTCCAACTTGGGCACATGCCTGAGCTTGCCCTTTATGCTTTGGAGGTTCTGGCATGCCCTGCAGCCAGTGTATTGCCTGAATGTGTGTTTAGCACAGCAGGGGGCGTTATCACAGACAAGCGCAGCCGCCTGTCCACAGCCAACGTGGACAAGCTCATGTTTATTAAAAAGAACCAGACATGGATCCCACTTGTCTGTACCTTGTGCAGAATAGACATTTATACCGGCCTCACCCAGCCATTGTTATACTCAAGTGGACTTATTCTTTGTGTTCTTTTTTTATATGTTCCAATATTTTGGGGGCATCCCCAATAAAAAAAAAAAAAAGTGTTGGCTACCTCCTTCACCGCCGCTTCCACCTACACCGCCACAGTCACCGCCTCCTCAACCTCCTACTCCACATCCACCTCCTCCTCCTAAAGCATGGTGCAAAAGCAGAGCGGCCATCCCCTAGACAGTATGCCTGCTACTGCCCACCGCACCCAGCGAACGAGCACATGAAAGCCAGCTCCAAGGACTTCCCTGGCATGGCAGTTCTTCAGACAATGTGCTGACGACAAGACACTAGTGGTTTGCACGCTGTGCAATCAGAGCCTGAAGGCATAAACGTTCTAAACCTGAGCACAACCTGCATGACCAGGCATCTACATGCAAAGCACGAGCTGCAGTGGAGTAAGCACCTCAAAAACCAAGAAAGGTCTCAGGATCCTCCTGCTTCCTCTTCTGCTGCTGTATCAGCCTCTTCCCCCTACCCACACGCGATCCCTGGCCTTGAATGCCAGCATTTCAAAATTCCTGGCCTTTGAAATGCTGTCATTCCGTCTGGTGGAGACGGACAGTTTTAAAAACTTGATGGCGTTATTGGACTGCAAGAAATGCACTGCAGGCTGCAAATGTTTCTTTTTTTTTATATGTCCCAATATTTTGGGGCCTACCACAATTAAAAAAAAAAAAAAAATACAGTGTTGGCTACCTCCTCCTCCTCCACTGCCGCTTCCACCTACACTGCCACGGTCACCGCCTCCTTGACCTCCTACTCCACATCCACCTCCTCCTCCTACTTCAAGATTATTATTTTTAATTTTTATGTATTTTATGTTATTTCCCTATCCACATTTATTTGCAGGGCACTTGTCCTACTCTTACCCCCATTTTACTTCCTTTTGCAGCCCTTTAGCCCTTTTTCAGAACTTTTTTAGAGGCATTTTAGTGCCCAAAAGTTCAGGTCCCCATTGACTACAATGGGGTTGGAGTTCGGGGTCAAGTTCGGGTCAAGTTCGAGTCAGAACTCGAACTTTCTGCTGATGTTCGGCTGAACCCGGCGAACCTGAACATCCAGGTTTCCTGCTCATCTCTAGTGCTGACACAATTCTACAGGATCTATGGCCCTGTCGTAATGTCAGGATTACTATTTGATCCAGCACGTAGAATTGTCTCACACTACTGAAAGTGTGAATAATTGTGTATTAATGTGTAGTAATATGATGCTATGTATTATCACGTTGATGAACATTGGAGCGATATGTGCAAACCGTAAAAAAAAATAAAAAAAGAATTGTCTCACACCTAGGACTAAGGATAACGTCTAACCGGACCTCAGGATGGCCGGACTTAACATATCCAAGAATAGTCCGAATATTAGCCGAGGTCAGGGATATAGTATCAGACACAACGATGAGAAAAAGCAAAAAGTCATGGATACAAGAAATCAGGGAAGTCAAAACGAATTGCCGAAGTCCCGAATTTCGGAATGCCGAACCGAAAATTTTCCCCATGCACATCCCTAATATTAAAGCTTTTTTTAATTCTATGCCTCAGGTTCACCCCTCACGTGTTTTCAATTTACATGATTGCGAGTGACCAGGGTTAACCCCTTCCAATTGTGCTGTGCATTTTTTCCGCATCAGCGCTACTATGGATGCGGTGCACTTGGGAGCTTCAGGGCCCGTGGTGCAGTATTTCAGTAGCAGAGAGACCGACCATTACTTGATTTATGTTCGTCCTCAATTACTTTTATGTTTCTGCAGGTCATTCCCTTTGCATTTGTTTGTTTTTTAGGTGGCTCGGTGGGCGGATCATAGGTTGTACAGTAGGAAACTAGGGATCCCTTTTGACATAGCGTATTGTAGTTTGGTAGTGAGGATTTGCGTTAGTGTGACATTTTCAAAGAATACTGCTTGCTGTCAAGTAGGATCCCTCCTGCTATTGTTCTTTAGCTCATGCTGGGGCTAATAGCATTTGAATTGTTCACTTTTTGATTATTTGTTGCAATACAAATGTCTTTTTGGTGTACATGTATACAGTTTACATTGTTCTCAGGGCCGCCATCAGGGCATGACAACCGTAACGGTTGTCATCGGGCCGGCGGTCCTGGGGGGCCCGGACTGCTCAGGTCGTCCGGGCCCCACATTCAGTGGGTACATACCGGGGTCGCAGGGGGTCCTGCGACCCCGGTATGTACCCACAGGGCCAGCCTCTTCTCCTGGGGGGCCCAGCAGCCAGTCCCCTCAGGGCACCCCAGAGGCTGGCCCTGCTGCCAGCCAGCTGGCGCGCGAGGGAGCACTCTCTGTGTGCTTCTTCTTCAGCTCCCTCGCGCACCGTACTGATGCCGGAGCCGGAAGATGACGCGGCGCGCGAGGGAGCTGAAGAGGAAGCAGACAGAGAGTGCTCCCTCGCGTGCCGGCCGGCTTTCAGGGAGAAAATTTGAGTGAGTGGGGGTGGGGGAGAGGGAGGGAA